ATTCTCTTGCGCAGATGATACTTTTGCAAGTTCTCTTTGCGAGTGCATCATTGCATTGTCGACCTGCACCACAAATTGCATTGCTTCATTACCTTTTTTCGCCTGAGCTCGGTCTACTGTGTGCAGAAGATTGAGCTGCACTCGATGCAGGTGGCCGTAGCACATCGTCAGCTTCAACACACATCGTCACTGGTTCTGTCCATCGTGTAGTCTGCCTCCTCTTGCTCTTCATTGTCAGCGCTTACTTCATCTGAATTATAAAGGCCAACTTATATTTACTTAATTTAGTACACTAAATTAAGTAATTATAAGTTGGCCTCAATTTTATCATATTTTCTTCGTTTTTGTAGTAGTATTAAGAGAATACTGAAGTTCCTTTCTAGTCTGTGACTTATCGCACATGAATTTTGCCCACACTTTAAGAATATCGAAGCAGTCGCCAAATCGGAGCAGTTCTGGCTTAGCGCCAGGTTTCCTTTTAGCAGTTGTAGCTTCATCCAGCAGACCTTGCTCATACACGGCTAACGTGTTTGCATGTAGCTGTTCTCTCTTGGTTGTAAAGCGGGCTGCTGCCGCTTACCGCTAGCTCAGTGCTGCTGCTTCTTGTTGCCGTCGCGAACCGCTGGGCCAGTGCTGTTGTCTGCTTGCTACCTTCCCGCCTCCAGATCACGCGCCTCACTTTGTTATTCGCTGGGGCTACATGCGCCAGGAGACCGCGCCGAGATTGGCTGCAAGCCGGGCTGCTGTATCGTCAGGCAAACAGGGCCCTGATTGCGCTCAACACTGGCTCCTAAGACAAACTGCACTCGATGAAGCTTGAGAACGAAATTTTAAATTAAACGCTGAAATGTAAAACCTTGAGATCTGGAAAATCGAAAACGCCCATACCAACTTGGCCGGGTTCTGCACAGCCGGGTAAGTAACAGGATACTAGGGGCCGAAATACGTCGCTACAGCAATGCGGTAAACTCTAGAGAGTTTGCTGCTTCGACGTGGAGTGTGGTCTGCATCCTTCCGTGCGTAACAGGCTAGGGCTAATGATCCTCACACTAATTCGTGCGCTCTACTGGCTGCCGAGCGCAGCGAAGGCGGCGTCGATGGGCTAAAACAAAACAGTTGCCAAGCGATTTGCCAGAGCTCGTGTCCTCGATAGCTACCGCGCTGGTGGTGAGTGGATGCTTGTGGCCGCCCACAACGACATCCCCACCACCACAGCACGTCAAATTGTGGAAGCAGAACGGGTGGAGCTACTCTCACGCGGAGGAGCCCGTCCGTCCAACTTCAAATGCACTCTGGAGATCGAGGCGGCACTCGAGGAGTACCTCGAAGAAAACTTCACCTACACTCTCAGTACAATGTGAGACATGGTGCGATTCGACTTCGGCGTGGATCGGAGCACCTCGACAATCAGCAATAAGCTGATTGGCAAATTGTACGCCATTAAACAGGTATATTGCAATGGTAAAATAAATAACAATTTCTATTTTAGATTTTTTTATTGAAACAGGTCCGCGTGGAGCCGATGACTTGCAACAGCGAAGTTAACAAAACTAAGCGAATGGAGTTTGCCAAAGAGCTACGGGAACACATGAATGCAAGAAACCTCACCGTATATAACGATGAGACAAATTATAACGTGTATTGCAAACGTAGCCAAGGGCGTGCCAAAGGGGGCGAGCGGGCGATGATCGTCTTACCGCCGTCCAGGGGCGCCAACCTGCAGGTACAGTGCGCCCTTTCAACAGATTAAGGGCTGGTGTATTATAAGTTGCAAAGAGACAGCATCCGCATAGATGTTAACGCTGCTTTCGCAGAGGAAATCTACGATAAAGTCAAGTTATCGCCAATCTTTCCAGAGCACTTCCAGGGCAAGAAAATCGCTGTCGTTCCCCTGTCCATTACCAACGGAAGCACGCGTCGCTGAACGAGCCGACTTAATTATTCACCGGCTGGTCCATACTCTTCACTGTGTAACCCCATTGAAGGTACGTAGTATACTGTATTACAATAGTTTTAAATGCCCTACTAACCGACTTTTGAACTGGTGCTACAGGGTGTTTCAGTGTTCTCAAGGCCAAGAATAAGCCCGACCTTGCCTTGTCCCGCGAAGAGCTGGTTGTGAAGCGTCCTCGCGGGATGATTGCGGCTGCTCGGATGGAGATTCTAAGGCTCGCGGCGAGGCGCCGCATCGGATGTATCGACTTGCACCTTAGGAGATATTCTGTCCAAAACGAGTCCAACAATGTCCAAATTGTCCAATTGATAAATGACGGATAATCGAAAAGATTGTTTTGTATATTTTTCCAGGATTGTCCAAACTGTCCAAAAGCTATTCAAACTGTCCAAAAGCTGTTCAAACTGTTTACATGAAGTTCATGTAGTCGTCTGGGACTTGAGTGACGACAGCTTCAGCGTGGCGAGGCGTTGTTTGAATTTCTTGATGTCATGGATGCGGCTCACGTAGCCTAGTGCCTCGGCTTTAGCTGTCTCCATGAACGCCAGTAATGCTTGGATGAGCTCCACGCCCAAATTTCTCGCCGAAGTCGCGGTTGTACTTTTCGAGCGGGTTATTGAGGACTAGATCTGGGTGCCCAAATCCTACGATACGGCGCTCCTTATTCTTGACAGAGAGCCCAGTGTTAAACCTCACAAAGGAGCGTTTGTCCGAGTCGCTGAGCCAGCGCGCCTCGGTCTTGTCGAGCGAGTGTAGCATATCGCAACCCATACCCTTGCGGGTATTTTTGACAATGTTGACACCTTGCAGCTTTGGGATGGCGTTCAGCGTGCTTCCTTTGTGTAAGTTGTTCAATGCTGAGCGGACACGCTCCCACCCCATTGATGGAGCTTCAGACGCTGATTCTAGAGCCGCTCGCTGGAGCTGCTGACGCATTTCACACCGCACATCCACGACTTGTTTCGGCAGTAAATTCTCGCAGTTGTGCTCACCGCGGGCGCGTACGTGTTCTCTTTTTGATATCAGCTTTGCAAGGCAGCCTTGCCGGAAATGACGGCAGTTGTAGTAGATGGTGCCAGTGACTTTGTTCGTTGTCCTAAACACGTACTCCTTCCCTTCGTGCAGCATTTGGGAAATGCCTGAATGAAGTAATGCCCTAGCTCGAGAACGCACTACACGCCAACAGCCTTACTTTTACTAGCAAAAATGTAATATTTAGATCCGTAATTAATAAAATAACGCATCTGTTTTGGACAGATTTTGGATAATTATGGTAATTTATCACCAAAACAGCAATTTTTTTTGGATAATTTGGACAAAGTTGGACTCGTTTTGGACAGAATATCCAACACCTTGTTAGGTGCATGTTGGCAATGCAGTGTCACAGGATGACACTGCATTGCCAACATGCCGCTGCTGCAGCGGAGCGCATGGAGGACATGGAGTACGGCACCTAGCTGCAGTTCAACCAGAGAGGACCATTTTGCTCTGCGTTTTCGCCACTTTGAATTTCCTTTTTAGTGTTACTTTTTCCTTATCAATTATTTTCTATTTTAAAAAAATCCGTTTTGAAGTGGAGTAGCATCATCTTGACCTGGCAAAGGTGTAGTAATATTTACTCCCATCCTTTCGACTGCGCGTATCTTTGTGACTCGGCTTCACCTTTACTTATGAATAGGGTTAATAAAACTCACGCAAATCTGCGCATTTATTGACTACATTCGATACTGACTGGATCTGTTGCACGAGCGGACCGTTGCTTGCGCTTTTGGTAGGACAAAAACAAACGTTTCTGCAATGACAGCCAAGTATATCGATTGGGTGAAAACGCCTGTCTGACTTAAAGCAATTTACATGTCGCTGCTAAGCACCTGTCCTATGTACTGTAAATCGGTCACGGTAATCACCACTCATTGCAAACGATAATAAAAATGCATTGCATCGGCCTAACCGCTTGCAGCGCTACCTATAAAGGCACGCAGGCTTCACGCGTGCACCCATATAGTGCATCTGGACACCACACGTATGCTACTGACACCGGTGGACATCTACGACCTGGCATAAACTTCTGTACTTTCATAAAATTGGTTTTACTTAGAAGACTAATAACTTATTGAATATAACATTACAATAATACTTACACCAATTGAATAGTGTCACGTAGCTTAACCGTGAGCTTTTGATAAAAGTAGCATCAACGGACAGCTAATTTAATAAATAAAATCTGTTAATATTATTACTTACTTGGGCTCTTAATGTCTTTTATTTGTGAAGATTAACACAATAGTGTGATTCATGCAAGCATGCATACCTCAGCAAGTTTTACAATATTTATTTTACTTAGCACTCTAATTGTTTTATGTAAAACGTTTATTATTTAGATAGCCGAAATAGTAACTGGGTTATACATACTCTTAATAAACCGTTTTTACTTAAGGAGCTAAAAACGTTTCATTTTTAGTATTTAGAATTTTAACCGCGAATGTAAATTATAGACAGAGATTGGCTGTGGTTGTCGAATAATTAATGACCGTAATCTATTCCGAAAGCCAACCACATCCAAGATCACCTTTTTCGAGCTACGAACTTTGAAAGGTGCTACAATTCTGGGTCGAACTACTGAGACGTAAGGGTGTTTTCTACATCCGAGGTTAGAAACGTGACTTAAGGCATGACAACTAGGTAAATTCTGCATTTAGACGTGCTTATTGAAAAAAAATGACAAATATCTCTATGCCAAAGCTAACATAGGTGTATTTGGATGAGAGCTACCGTAACATAATTCATGTTGATGGTGCCACCTTGGTGTGATCCTGCCGGACAATCCCTACAGCTCACTATGTTCGCGATTGAATGCTGGCAAGCCAACCCGAGCGACACACCCCGCCGTATTTAGACCATACGAGCTAAGCTCAGCCATATTCGATGGTGTCATCAGCTCGTTGCCGGATATCGCCCGTCCCTCGCTCCGCAACACGAGCTCGTCATTCAAGGAATGCGCCGACTCAGCCCTCCACGACAGCAACGAGGCGCAGTCTCAACCGCCATGCTCACCGTTATCATCAAAGCGGCCAACATGTCAATCTCCCAGCACCGCGTCTTGTGTGGGGCTGCGGTGCTGGGCTTCTTCTTTTGCCTGAGAGGATCCGAATATCTCTCATCACGTGGAAAACTTCACGTGTACTGTCTTCAAGTCCGCGATATCCACGTACATGACAGCAACGGAGTGGTCACCAATAAATTCCGGACAGCAACATCGGTGCAGATCACTTTTCGTGGGAGTAAAACTGACCAAGTCGGCTATTCAACCCAGCGCACTCTGTTAAAAAGTGGTCAAGCACCGATTTGCCCAGTATTCGCAGCGCTTCTACTATTACGCAATGCAGCGAGTCTCAAGCTGCCATCAAACTCACCGATCTGCACAGCGAGCCGACACCAAGTCTTATCCACCGAGTCCATGACAAAAACCCTGAGACGAGCAGCCGAGCGATGCAGTATACCAGCGCACACGATATCAACCCACTCACTCAGAACGGGAGGTGCAACTGCGCTTCATTCAGCAGGCGTCGATACGGACACGATTCGCATGCACGGACGCTGGGCATCCGACGCATACCAAGCGTACATACGCGAAACACCAGCAGCAATATCACACCTCGCCAAACACATGAGTCGTGCCACATCACATGCAAGTCGACGTCACCAAACCGATCAACTAAATGGGGCAACACGAGCGTAAACTCTCGTGTGATCGAGTCGATAACGTCGAAATGCAAAAAAAACGACTTGTTTTTCCCCAACACTGACGACGATGAAGTTAAAGGAAATGGTCATCTGTTGGCTGCAGCTAAAGAAGGGTTTTCCGGAGCACAAGAGTCGCAGTATCAGACCGAACAGTCGGCACGTCACACTTCATTCTATCCCGCTAAGGCGTCTATGCCGTCGAGGACGCCCAGCCGAAGTAGTCTACGTTAGATTTGTCATTGTAGTTTTTACAGCCTCCAAGACACCCACCACTCCCTTCCCGCAACACGCGAACATAGTGAGCCGCAGGGATTGTCCGGCAGGATCGTGTCGCGAGAGCCAATGCGAGAAACCCTTTCTTGAGCAATACTGACGCCAATGTTGCCATGTGCTGAGGTACGGTTGTCGCGTATGCAACAAGCGGGGCGGGTAAGCACTACTGCATCGTCAGTGCCGGTGCAGTGTTTGTGAAGCGGGGCCAGCTTAACGCCGAATGGGTGCCAATGTCGATCCGAACATAGGCGTCGCATTTGAAAGCTTCTGCGGACACTGATTACCACGAAAACAAATACGGGAGAGCTGTTTGAGACCTGGTTTTAGAAGCTTTATTAAGCGCATCAATCCACGTATGGCTCGTGCAGAATCCACATGGACGGCGCGCCATACCACAAGGTCGTGGAGGATCCGGCACCGTCAGCTTCAGATACAAAGGCAAAAAATGGTCCAGTGACTGCAGCATTACCACCGCGGTGTCACAGTGTTCATTGTCGACTACAAGGAAAAACAGCTCGAACGCAGATACGTGTATTGTTCAAGAAGCTATTCATACTCTTAACTAACGTTTTTACCACAGGCAAAACCCCAACACCAATAGTTCACTGCGAGCGACCCGTAGCGTACACGCAGTGCAACCACCACAATCGGTCTCGCTTCACAATCCGCCCCAAATAGCTTTATTTAGCCTTATCACACGTGAACACGCAGTTTGTTACCGCGTGAGCGCGTAGGCGCCTCTAACGGCTGTACCACTGATGACTATACTTTCCATATGCTATAGTCGCACTATTTCCGCGGCTTGAGCCGCGCGTGATGCCCGCAATGGATGTCCCCCCTCTCTCAGAAAGCTCTTCATTTATTCGATATTGACATTCATCAGTAGGTACGTTTGTTGCTGCCGTGTAAGGGACTGCTTTCACAGCGTGCACTACGCTACTTTTCCCGTGTCGTGGGGAGAGAAGAGCTATTATACTGGCGAGAAGAGCACAAATTTTGCCCACCTAAACCTTCTTGCTCAATTATCCAATCGTTTCAAGGTTGTTTTGTTTGAGAATACCCCGTTTACTCTTTTCATTAAGGACTGGCTCGGTTTTAGCTCTCATGTATACTTCAAAGAAAACCGAGGGTCCGCAACTCGCTGAAACAATCGGGACTCTGTGCCTGCAAGGTGTTTTCCTCTAGATCATTACGGTACAATACCCCAGCCTGCTCATTTTATTGTGAGCCATTAGCGAATTACCTTTCAAAAATGTACTATAAGGCCATATCATACTCCTCAAACCGATCGACAATCTCATCCGTAATTAGTACACCATCCGTGAACTCACTAGCGAGATCTCATAGCTCTTCAAGTGTCGGCGTCGGTGCTAGCTTTGATGGAGACACTGCTCTGCATGCGCAACTTCTTGCTTCCGTATTTTCTTGTAGGCTCCGAGCCCCTGGTGCTTCGTTATAGCATTCAAGTCAGCCGTAATTTTCCTGCCCAACCCCGATGCAGAAGTTGCCGGGTCCATTGCAAACTGGTTCTTTAGCGCTCCTCCATATAATATCTATTGGTTGCAGCTCTGAATGATAGGGGGAGGGAGCGTGTACAGGACTTCGTGACCGTAGTATCGGGCTCTTGAGACAGCCCGGTACGTTGTGCCCGTAGCACTTTTCCTGTGCTACTTTAGGGCTATTGCTTGGACCCTATCAGTGAAACTTGCGTCATTTTTAGCATAGCGGTTCCACAGCTAATATCCAAATTAACTTTCCACAACGGTAGTCCCAATCTTAATTTTATGTATATTGGAACTTTTATTCAAAACCATTTATTGTCTTTTATCAAATTTTACTGAATATGAAAATAATATTAGCTTTAAAAAAGACTAATAGTGCTTTATTTAGTTCTAATTGGTGTGTTATAAATTCAAAAATGATAGTGTTAGCTCAGCCCCATTCATGATCTCTCCTGAAAATCATTCTTAAATCGATTTTACTAACCGGCAAACGCCCCACCAGCACAAAAATGAGTGATAATAAAAACCTAAAATTTGATTCCAAAAGTGATGGCATTAGCTTGCAGGTTGCTACAGTACATACTCACATACATCTTATACCCTTGCAAACGCGGTTACTCTTCTTTCATCCTTTTCAGCCTGAACATAGGTGGTATAATGTAATAATCTGCAAGAATCCAAAGCCTACGCTTACAGACAACGACGGTGGAAGTCAACCCCCCGTAAATATTTTTTTTTCATTACAAAATAAGAAAGACCAACAAGACAAAAAAATTCGACCCCTTGCGCGGTATCACCTGCGCTTAAATAAAGCAGCCCTTTTTTTTACTTGAGTCCGAATTTCCACGTGGAGCCTCCAATGGAGGGGGGGGTCGATTTTTTGTGTGGTGGTTAGTTTCCGGAGTCGTTCCTACAACACAGCTACAACGGCACGACATCAGGTTGAGAGCAACACAATCGGTTGTTGTGTTGCTTCGTAATTTATCTACGTTTTCTTAACTGTGAAAATTTCCGACTAAATTGAAAATTCGCAAGATCCAGTTTTCGCACTTAAATACGATCACCCCAAGTCATTTCCAGCCTCCAATTTTTGTATTGTGAATACAGAGACACGAGAAGCCAGCCTCCAGCAAGTATGACAGCAGCGAAGAAGGGTTCGCAGGCAAACTCGCGCCCCTTAAGCTCAGCGACGAGTGCCAAGGGAGGGAAGGACGTGACGAAGAAGAAGGGGAGACCGTCGAAGCCACCACGCGCGAGCTGGCTGAGAACTGACGCACCTGGTAAGTCGCGTTTGTATTAAGTTTCTAAATCGAGTTACCAACACCACGCTGATGACACTTTTAGCTGCTGATGCAGCTACGTACTCTTCTCCTGGACCAATGGTAACCAAGCCTGCAAGCGCGCCCGGGCAGAACACGTCGGGTAAGCTGTTGCCATGTGACGTAGTGTATCGCGTCTGCTTCGCTTTGTTTCTTTTGCTTTTACGTTGCATTAAGCGCAAGATGCATCCTCTGGGCCGTTCGACACGAACGCACAAGCGCCTAATACTACCCTACGCGAGCGTAAGCCTTTCGACTACCTGTTTGCTGTCCAAGGCTTTGCAGTTGTCACACGTGATTATGACGCTGCCATGAGACTCAGATCTTTGGATGATTCTTTCGCAGCCTGAAGTGACAACTCGATCCAACAAACTCGATCGAATAGTGAATGCTACGGATAAAGTTCTGCTTGCAACACTAACGCAATATAATAAAGCTGTTTGGTTTTGCATCATAACGAATAGATTAACGTGCTTCAATTTTAACTCTGACTCACTAGTGCCTATCAAGCATTATATTGCAGCACTCCTCCAGCATCAAACTGTATGACATCGTGTAGCCTCTGTCCAGAGTGACGGCCCCAAGTGCAACTGCCAGGCGTGTTGCATCACCTTTCTCTTCGGCGAGCATTGAGGCGAGCTCATTCCAAGCTTGTATTAGCTTCTCCGAGTGTTGAGTCAACATCTGCAACTTCTCTTCCATGCGTTGAATTTGCCGGAGTTTAGAGCGCAATAGCTCTTTGCACAACCTCGAATTGTGTGCTCGAGAGTAGCTATGATGTGTGGCAGGAGGGGATGGAGGCGCTAGGGGCGTTAGATCTTCACTAGCGGTGCTGGTACAAGCGCCTGCATCTGTGTTGTCTTGATTCATTTATCTCTCAAGTCTTTTTTTCGATTGAATCGACGCAGAATGTGGCTTCGCCTATTACAAACTTTGTCAAAGTGGAATCGTAAGTTTCGAGGTTTCTGAAATATATTACGAATAGATTACGATCGACCCTTCTAGAGTTGCTTCTTGTGGCACTCGTTGTGGTGCTACAAGCCCATTGTGTTGCAGCAATAGCTGTCGTGACGTTGTAGTTGTGTTGTAGGAACGCCGTTCCCGTCGTTGTCTGTACTTGATATCCTTTGGGAACTTAGAAGGTCCACCCTTTTCAGTTTCTGGGCGGAGTCTGTAGTAAGTTTTTACTTCTCACGGGCACAGCCGCCAAGCTCGCAGCTCTCGACCTAAGTAGCCACCTATGGTACTGACTCGGATATTCCCGTCCCCGTAGTAGGCTACAGTATAATTATGCTGAAGTAAAACGATACTTGTTTATAATTGTTTTACTCTTACACTATTCCAAAAGTAAAATAGCAATTATTGCCATTAAACTTTCGATATAGTTTAAAATTCGACACATTTTAAATTAATATACAGTAGGAGTCATTTATTCAAATTAAGCTGCAACGAAGGTTAATTTGAATAAATGACTCCTACTGTGATATTACCTGAAATAATAGTACTACAACTAAAAACACTTTCAAGCACGGATTTCCTACCGGTCAATCGACTGTACTCGATTCGAATAATGTACAACGCTCCCATGATTAAACAGCGCGAACTTCTTGCTGAGTGTAGCTGGTGACCAGAGAAAAAGCGATTCAAGCATTCATGGTAAAGGGCATTTTGAGTCAGTTGATATGTCAACTTCGGCCGTTAATACTCCCTTCCGGAAGACAAATCGATCTATTATCTATAAACAGGCAAAAAACAGAAATGCGTAAGGGAGTAGTTGGTGAAGGCGGGTGCCCGAATTCATGTTGTCATGGGCGAAACCTGTAATAACTCGATGGGCGTTGATTGCGAGCTCTGTTAAGAATACTCATACTGCGTTAAGCTACGGCTTCTACAAATGCTGATTGAAGCACATACTTCTTCGTCACCTCGAGTGCGCGGGTCAGACGCCAGCAATTTGAAAAAAAAGATCAAAACTTGACGTAACAAATAAAACGGATACTTGGATTGGGTTCATTTATCGTGTGACGGCGCCGACGAAATCACTTGACGCGACTCGAAGGCTGCGATTCTTCAAGCAGTCTACGAGGATTTCTCGCCACACTTATCCGTGCAGCACGTGTGGAAATCATCGCCCACTTTACCCTGGTTACGGCATTCCCTGCTCAAGGCCAAGTTAGCTTCAGGGTAGAGGCTCGGGCAGCCCGTCGCCTGGCAGTAGAGAGGGTCCTCAGCAGTGGCGACGGTGGCGATGACAGCAGCGAGGAGGACAGCGAAGCAAGTCTTGAAGTTCATTATTGTATTGATGGAGCTGTAACTTGATAGCGATGTGAGGTGTGCTCGGCTGAATTCGGACTGACTCTTGCTGTAACAGTGCTCAAGAGCGCTCGACGACACTCGAGATTTTGCGTTTGGATAGGACCAACAGCAGTCTCCATGCCAAGTTTACAAATTTGAAGTGATGTCCCATCCCATGAACCCTGTGGTTCAAATGCAAATTGACTATTGATTAACAGCAGTGAATTGCGCTGACTTGAGCAATAACTTTGAGCCATTATCAATACGTGTACATGTAGCGCCACAATTCAACGTGGCCAATTCTGCTAAGTACCATTCCATTCGAAAGAGGAGAGAAGCAAGTAAAACAATAAGAGATCTGCCATATTATATTCTGCAACTCCCCTTCTAATTTTTTTAAAAACTCAATCAATCTAAAAAAAAGATTTTTGGTACATAAAATAACAAAAATGGGCAATTCTCGTGCAATTGAAGAAATAATCTCGAGGTCCAATTACCGGTATTAATTGGTCACAAAAATCGTGAAAAAGCAGCTATTACCGGTATTACTAGGATACAAAAGCTGCAACAGAGGTCGCAAATGGTTAGCCGCACCCGTTCGGGTAATGTCTACCCGTAACCACGGACGGCCGAAAGTTTGCCTCTCTGAAAAACGGACGGGTACGGGTAACCGACTTCTAGGATCGGTTGGTTATGCTCACCAGAGGAAAAGATTTTTTTGCATGTTTTTCTTTATTAAGAATTTTGGCGACGGCTCGCTGCGTGTCAGCTTATTTTGAGCGGAATTATTGAATAAGAAAACGGTATTTCACCTTTTTTCATTCTTTACTTGAATTACACGTAATTTTCGGCTAACTGATCGCTAATTCCGTGAGCCATGGCTGTCCGAACGGTCCGTACGGTTGTCCGAAACTCGATGACCAGGGCTTTCGGACGGTACGGTTAGCCGGATAATTACGTTTGCGACCTCTGGTAAAGCTACTGTACATGTACAGTGTACTACATGTAGAAGTATACAGGTTATACCGGTACCGGTAGCTGAAACTCTGCAGCGAAGTTGTGATTTAATAAATGACAAATTTGTCTTTTAAAAAGAGTTATTATGTAGTAGGGTACATGTTATACCGGTACCGGTAGCTGAAACTCTGCAGCGAAGTTGTGATTTAATAAATGACAAATTTGTCTTTTAAAAAGAGTTATTATGTAGTAGGATACATTTTATACCGGTACCGGTAGCTGAAACTCTGCAGCGAAGTTGTGATTTAATAAATGACAAATTTTGTCTTTTAAAAAGAGTTATTAATAACACGAGCTTCGAAGAGGGAGCCGAATTTTTAGGGGGGGGGCACCTCCCATGACGTTAGAATAAAAAAACATAATGAAGCTTGGGCGATAGACTCGCTCAACACTTACCGAACTAGTGTTGAAGTTTCCCACTCTTTAGACTTCGCTGCGAAACCTTACAGAAAAAAATCTGCCATCACACAGACAGTACGTACGCTCCATTTGTTGATGTAGCTTTGCCGCCAGCGCAGGCTGCAATACTCCTGTGTCTATGGCACTGTCACCACCAACCGAACGAAGCAACACAATAAATCTTGTGGAAAAGTTATCTCAGTGCACAAATTTGCTGCCCCGAAGTCCAGTGCAGTATGAATACGTATTCTACTGTACATGTAGTTGTGTTAACGCGTACAGAAAAGAAGAGCTGAAAAAAATATCTTTCCGTCGTTTTTAGACTAAAATAAACTATATTCACGAAAGAAAAAAAAATTACAAAACGAAGGACTTCTGGAGTACTTTGAAAGTAGGCTTGTGAAGCTCATGCGCTAGCAGAAGTGTGTCAGCTTGCAGATTCGCCGGTCCACTCACAAGTAATGCCACATCCGCCTTCATGCCGTAGCTCTCGCGAATCTCACTATGCACGTCCCGCAGTCTTGAGCTCAAATCCGGACGTTCCTTTTCTATGAGGAAGTTTCGACCGAGCACAGATTGTGCCGGCGTGGGCATCGAACGTGGCGTAGCAGGTGCCGCAGGACTGGTAACATCCAATCCCTCGACTTCCATCTCTCCCATTGCGACACCCATAGCTCCATCGCCGTTCTTACGGTCGTTCCATCGCTTCAGCAAATACAACACAGCGCTTGCGCCAGCCACAGCACCAAACGCACCCGCACACGGCAACAGCGTGCGTCGTACAAATGACTTGGCCGTAAAATCTTCCAACCTCCAAACCCACATCATCATCAGTACACAGCCTAGTGCCGTGCCAATAAACAACGGTAGTCCCTGCATGTAGTTGTGACCAGAGAAGGCATGACGCTCCAATGAGGGTGGATAGAAGCGCTGAGCACGAGGCGACGAGTCCTCCGAGAGATCATCGGGCTCGGTTTGGGTATCATCGTCTTCGTCAAAGCCACTTTCTCCGCCAGAATGCGTATGATGCAGCCAGATCTTACATTTCCATTGCGAGCAACGATTTATTGCATCGAGTAGCTCTGCATGTGCCTCCAGGAACTCCACGTCGCGACACGTCCAGATAATCCACAGTGTGCGTGGCAACTCGGAATCCCCCGTCATCTCGTCACGGTCCTCCATATCGGCCAGAGCCTTCAAGTGATCTAGAATACTTAAGAACGGCGTCATGCCACTCCCTCCTGCCACGAACACCATGTGTGGAGCCACCTCAATCTCCGATCCATAGTATCCGTCCACGTGGACAGTCTGAAGCTGATGTGCCTTCATCAAAGTCAACACTTGAGACGTGAACGGTCCTTGCACTTTGGCGTCCAGAACGAACGAGTGACGATTTTGTAGTGGACTGGAGCTGATAGTAAACGGATGCCACTCCTTCCCTATTGTGTCCACTTTAATGTACACATACTGACCCGGTAAAAAGTCCGATCCGGTTGCAGTAGATCGTCGCAGTTCCAACTGGAAAACTTTATTGCTCATTGCGGTTGCCGACATGACGTTTGCTTTCCCACGTCCAAAAGCTGAAACGGTACGGTAAATTCCATACAAAATCGTGGCCGGTACCAGCCAAAACGACGCGGCGTAGTAATGTAAAGCCGTAAAAACAACGAAACCTGCACTCAAGCAATGCAACGTAATGAAACGTCGGAAAAACCGACGACGGACCCACTCCATCGATGACGCTGCAACAATCAATAGCGGTAACATTGCCACTGTACCGAAAAAGTTACGTGTAGATCCGTAGCGTTGTTTCGGCGTACAACTCTCAGCCAAACACGGGACCAACATTTGTTCCACTTTGCCTTGAGTGTACCATACCAAAGTGTACAACACGCCATGCAACATCAGCATGATGAACCCAAACTGACCGCACAAAACATGATACCGCGCGGCCCGCTCGCCTGATAATCCGAAAAACTTGTGCAAAAATGATTGTCTAGCCACTAAAACCACAGACAATACCATCGCGTACAGTCCGTTCATGCCAAAGGCGCGAGCTGTCCGGACTAAAATGCCCGATTTTGCCAGTTTGCCGTTCTCCTTGTCGATCAGCAATTTCCCCACCACGAGGTTAAGTTGCAGCAGCAGGAAACCACTGATTAGCACCACGTCGACTGCATCGAACCCGAAACGTTTGCCGATGCTTGGCCGAGACTTCACCCACTGCACCACCTTCAGTTGCTGGCCCCAGTTGGCCAATGAACCGACAGAGTCGTGCTTCCAATAGAAAATCGCCCCTGCCAAAAGGAATGGCAACACTAATGCAGCAGAAACCACGAAAGGCTCCACGTCCAGTTTGTCACCGATTCTGGCTTCCAGGGATGGAAACACGTCGCGGTCGTAAATTGGCCAGCGGATCCACAAAAGACCAAAGAGTATCCACGCACTGCACACTTTGAGAAAGACTGTTGCGCAATTGCGTCGCGCATTCGCCATCATTTGCAGCGCCGCCGCCTTCTGTGGTTTTTGCAGAAGTCTCATGCGTTTGGAGGCTTTGGGCGGCGTGCGGGAGGCTACAAGGCGATCGAACTCGGCGTCGTCGAGGTCTTGGTCTAGCTGCAGGTCTAGGTCTGGGTCCGTCTCGGGCGAGCGAGGCGGAGACAACGGAGCTCGGCGGCGTTCCATGTCCACGCGTACGCTCATAATCAGAGCGAGAATGTGTGTGGTCCGTTTACTGTCGGAGCTGACGTATGCGCGATGTGGAAGACATAGCTGCATTTCAACCAATCAGTATGTCTAATTATTCGAGACGTTGACGGAGTTTCGAACCATCAACTTTCCGGTCAAGTTCGACGTCAAAATTTCGTTAATTTTACATGATACAAGTCCAGTACTGCACCCCGTTTGGACCTTTGATAAAGGATGATACTTGAATCCAAATGAGCTATTGATTGTAAGCTAAATCTGACTTATTTGCAAATCCTATATGGTCCACCCCCGCGAAAACGGGGTGCGAACTGTATTGCGTTTGGCACTCGGAGACAGCCACCGACGTTGGTGGCTGCCAATTTATAACGTTAGATATTGCTGTTTAGATATGTTGCACGCGCAATTACATTGTTTTTAATAATGCCGAACCTATGTGAGCGCGGATTGGCCACAAAAGTAGCAATATCGAATACAGGAGGAATCCAGTCGTTAAGGCGCTTGATGGATCGTTGCGGTGTGTATAAAGGCTGAAAGTCCATTTGTTACCGACAGAGCAGGAGGGTGGATATTTATCACGAGGGTACCACAACGAAGGCCACATATGTCATTAGGGGCAACAAATAACTCAATCTTTGGACGCGTCGCGCGACCAGGCTCCGGAACCACAACCAGAGTAGCATTGGTAACATCGCACATATATGGTAATTATGATGCTGCCTCGCCACCGAACGATAAAGATGACGAGATCTTTCAACCATTAAACAAAATAAGATATTTGTGAATAAGTGTACATTAGATGAGTACCTACCAGGGCTCGAGTGCCAGCATCTTCTGCGTTTTCTGCTTTGTTGACAGGATTCAACAGCTCATTTAGTAAGCTTCCTGGGACTTGAAGACCGACGGCTCGATAGTATTCGGCTTTGTTAGAGCGCTGATGGCTTGCTGGTTCCGGGATCACCTCCTTCGTTCTCGCCAATGCCTGGTAAGATTTCCTGACTTGAGTCCGATTTAATTGTCACTGGAACTTCTCGTTGCCGGTCACCCTTCACTTCCTCTGCATCTTCCAGAATGATAGTGTCTGTCGAAGTTGCACTAGCAGTGGATAAAGCAGAGCTGCCATAAGTGACTTGCTCAGAATTTGCATCCTCCCATACGGAAGATTCAGCTGGGCCATGGGTAGGAATAAAAGGAGCGTTTCCTCACATCCTTCGTCTTGTTGAGTAGGCTTCTCTGCGTTACGAACGTGCTCTGCACATGTATACACAAAATCGTGATCAGAAGGATCTCCTTCCGATGCCGATGAATCTTTTGCTTCTTCATAAACATGGTTAACACGCACGAACCGACGGGCTCTCATACTAACACCTGGACAGGCAACGCCACCGCAAATACATGCAACGACAACATGGCCTTACCATGCGTGCTTTCTGCAGTATGCGCAGGAGCAAGACTTACGCCTTTTGTCTACCACCCACCCGCCAACCGGCAAACCATCTGCCGGTGTCCTCCTTGAATATACAGGGCGTATAGAGTTGGCTGTCATCTTTTTATCAGCTGCTGAGAGTCTCAAAGGCGACTGAATCACTTTGTAAAGTGGCAATTCCGTGACACACGCATTGAAATGCGCTTTATCAGCGTCCATCATCACAAACGTTTGAGCAAACTCGATTCCGTACACATCGATACATACTCGCTTTATGTAGCGAATGCACCATGCAGCGTCTATCGCGCGCTTTTGCGATGTGCAAAAGCACACCATTGGGTAGTAGTGCCCACCGCGATCCGAATATCCGAATGCAAACACGACATACCCATTATTTGCCATATTGTGGGTACTGTCAATGTGAAGAGTTGTCCTGTAGCTGGGGTTGTTTTGCACATCGACGTACTTTCCAGCGATCCTTAAGCATGTCATCCCTAGGCGTCACGCTACAGCTCTAATGTGCTGATTTCATGTAACTAAATATATTTGAAAGCACTCGCGAGAAACAAATCAGGACGGGAACAGGAGTGTGTTTGCTGGTCTGTACGACATGCATTACGCAACTCAAGAGGAATCTGATGCTGTAAAAGAGCGTGTTGCTACAAAGTGGAAAAAACTTTCCGCCTGGGTCCCCGGCTCGTAAACTTATCGACCATATCTGCAAATGTGGGTAAATTCACACAGATTCGCGCGCTGACAAGCATTTCGACGCCTAGTGGGTATGCTGCGTTAAGCAATTCACTGGATCAATATCATAGATTGGTAAAGAAACAGTATCCAGGTGGACTTGCTTATCCCAGTGAGCTGTTAAGGAACCTGGATGGGGCTCGTTTGGCTATACTCAACAGTCACATGGACTTTGTTGCGGCTGCACCTGCATCGGTGCGCTTGATGGAGCTTTTTCAACTTATGAACAGTATAGATTGTCTTACGGTGCATAAAACCTCTCAGTGGGATCAGTTGCAGCAGAAGTGGACAGGTTTTAAGCCATCCTTGAGATGTGAAACGCGCCCTGTCTCGTCGGGATTGGAGTTCGGTTGGGAATCACAGAGATCATCATTGGTTTGTCTGATAACGTTTAGATGTGTAGCTGGTCATATAGGCGACCACCGCAAAGATCGATTAGTGGTGCCATGGAATCCTTGGGGCTTTCCGACGCCAATTCTTCACAAAGTCGGAAACTTGTGTGTTCTTAGGGCAGGACCAGTCATCTCGTTCTCGTCTTCTAAGTGCAAATCAGTGTGTACGACCTAGCTGCTGTAGTTTTCTCTGGCACTTAGACTTTCTAAAAAATAGCTCTTCATTTCACGAGTGAGCTTGCGTTCAAAGGCAGTTGAAGGATTGCTTATGTTCATGATGTGAAAGACCTCGCACAAACTTGACGACAGGCACATCCTGAACTTTTATTGACAAGAACAGAGAAGGGGTGGTCCAGTTTCGTCATTGCCAAGTCCCATTTGCTGAAATTTACAGCGTTTTGAGCGACATGGGACTAGTAGGAAACGCATCGAGTGACCACAGCGACGTAAAGCATAGACAATATTAAATAGATTGTCCATTGTACAGCCAATTTGATTACTTTTGTCGACAAAGTGTAACGGTAGACTTGCACGGAACACAGCCAAAACATCAGCCTCTGTGGGCGCCAAATACATGTCCACGGAGGGACCCGTCCCGCCTCGTTGTTGTCGTTACTATTAGAATCGCCTTCCTCCAGCAGTAAAATACCTATCGGAATCACTGTCTGCCTGTGTACTCATCGTGTCTAGCTGCCAATTAATAAATGGTTGCTTGATCTGCTTTCTACGCGTAGGTGGCCAATGTTACCAATTATAAACGCAAAACTGCAGCATGTTGAGGGTATATTTCGGCGATCGTGCAGTTTTAATTGGTGGGCCTACCCTTTTTGTTTATTCGAAGGTATGTTATCTGTGTGGATGGTCCTTTGTATTCCGTTGGTGGTGGTACCCTTTTTAGACACAGATACACTCTGTCGTTGCTGGGATTGGCCCACACTCCCAAGTGACGGCCACGAACGTCAGTGGTCGATCTTACCTGTCGCCGAGCGTATGCCACGCAAAGAGACGTATGCATACCCCGGTTACTGTAAAAGGAAGAAAAGATAGGTCACCTGTGGACTTATTATAAAATGTATAGTCGTGGGCCCGCCCCTCCATTCACTTGCTGAGCAGCGCTCGGAGGTCGCCGGTTCGCGGCACGCCCTACCCCAGCCTTTAAGGCCTAGACTCGGCAAAGTGCTGAGGCTGGGATTAGATAATAATCCCAAGATGGTAGTGGTTCTCACGGAGCTTTTGCAGGACATTCCTAAATAAGGGGAGGGGCCAATCAGCAACCATGATAGTTCGGGCCTACCGCGTAACAAAGACGTGATACTTCACAGATCATTCCAAAGTTGTACAAATTTATTTCAGACGAAATTTTTGCTAGCAACCAATCAAACCCATTCTGCAACCACCTTCCCATTACGCACCTCGCGAAATGCGAAATGCGAGGGCGAATTTTGATTCTGCAAGATTGGCAATATTTGAACCAATGAGGTCGTGCCATTTTGTGTAGAATGATTCTTTAAAGATCTGTGAGAACCACTAGTGCCAAAGACGGTCGGCAAAGCCCGTCTTATGCAAACTCGGCGGTATACAATGTGTAGCCGGATCGGGCAAAATAGCCACTTTTATTGTATTTCTGCATTCCATGTCAAAATGCTGCTAATATGTAAGTAGAGCTTACTCTGTCTGAAACAACACTCGTACAGTAGTTCCTTTTAGTTTTTTTATGGAAATAAGTTTAGCCCTATATTACGTTTTTTTTGTTGACGTTGATTCCCCCGAGCAAATGTTTCATACTCGACGACTTTATCCGATAAAGCGACGCGCGGACGGAAACAGCGCGGCGGCACTTCCTTTGACTTGAGGGTCAACACCTCGTTAATACGGCGCATGTCGTAAAAGGTAAACAACATTACAGCCTTAAACAAAATACTGTACTTTCTTTGCTAAATTCCTTTTCAATTGAAAAACCGGTGTGTATAAACTGCATCATCTGTCCAAGGACGAACTCGCAATCAAAACGTAGTGTTGGAAAAACATCGTCACTCCACTGATGCCCTTTCAGCTCCAAAGCGTAGCTCACCCTGTTGCATAAGTGCAAATATATAAGAAATTCCATTGGTAACAGACTGGGCTCATCGATGCTTAATGTGATGGGTTCCAGACGATTCCCTGCACCTTTTCAAACATATGTCAACGTTGTCAGGGCGGCAGCTGTGATCGCGAGGGGCTGGCTCAGGGTGGCTAAGCTGTTGAATGAGGACTTACGGTTTGTCGCGACAGCCCTTCGAAAACGTGGCCCGTCGCGATGGAAGGAGCACCTTTCTAGGTTCCGCAGCTACTACAACAGGTACTGCATAGACTTCTGGCTCGACTATGTCGATGACAATATTGATGCTAGCTTTTTTTCATTTGAAAGAGCCGCA